TAAAATTATAAATTATTTAAGAATTACTATTTGGATTTTTATGTTTATTAATTTACTAATATTCTTATATTTTAGCATTCGAAGAATGTCTTGATTCATCAAAATCAGCCAAAGATTGCAGATTTTGGACTATCGAAGCAGATAAATGAAAGGTCTAGAACTTCATCCACAAGTTTACATGGAATGCCACAATATATTGAACCCAATTGCTTTCGCGACCCTAATTATAAACGCAATATGAAATCTGACGTTTATAGCTTTGGAATAATTCTCTGTGAAATTTCAAGTGGAAGACACCCATTTCAAACTGCTGAATCAACAATGGCCATCTGCTTTCACATATACCAAGGAAATAGAGAAGAACCTGTAGAAGGTACACCACCTCAATATATTGAACTTTACAAACGATGTTGGGACAACGATCCTGCCAATCGTCCAGAAATAAAAGAAATTCTCAATACTTTAATACATCTTATTCGTAACGAAACTTTGAGTCAACAAAATTCCGTTGAAGTATCAACTCAAAATAGCGAAACTTCTTCAAGTCATCAGGATGATACAAGCACGTTTGTAGATTCATATAGTTTTACGACGTCTACACTTTGTTTATCTGATACAATAAATGTAGGCATTGAAACTCAATATGGTAGTATTCTTGAAGTTATTAGAAAAGAAGCAAATGAATGTTTTACGCAAGGCAAATTTCTTAAAGCATTAGAACGTTATGAAGAAATTCTCAAAATCCCTCATCACAATACTAAAGATCAAGAACTCGCTTCATCTTGGGATCTTACTCGTCAATGTGGACCCGAAAAAATAAATGACCTAATAGAGACACTTTGTAGAAACACCATGTTGACTTCTTTAAATCTTAAATCGAATAATCTTGGACCAGAAGAAGGAAAGGCACTAGCAAAAGCACTTTGTAAAAACACTACGCTGACTTCTTTGTATCTTTATCGTAATAATCTTGGGTCAGAAGGAGGAAAAGCATTAGCATACGCACTTTGCAAGAACACTACGCTGACTTCTTTGGATATTAGCAATAATAGTCTTGGAACAGACGGAAGAAAAGCATTAGCAAATGCACTTTGTAAAAACAGCACGCTGACTTCTTTGGATCTTTCTGACAATAATCTTGGACCAGAAGGAGGAAAAGCATTAGCAAATGCACTTTGCAAGAACACTACGCTGACTTCTTTGCATCTTTACAAAAATAATCTTGGGTCAAAAGGTGGAAAAGCATTAGCAAATGCACTTTGTAACAATACCACACTGACTTTTTTGGA